TAACCGCACGATCATCTTCCGCTACCTGAAAAAAAATGTGACCATCTTTTTCGAGCTTGGCACGGCCCGCTGTCGCCGCTTGCCCGCCTGCGCAGTTTAGCCTCGCCCCGTTTTCGGTTGCAGCGGCGCGGCTCCACGCCGCGGTCGGGAGCCCATGCCCCACACGCGTGGACTCGGAACCGCCTTCCTGGTTGGTTCCACCCCTTTCGCACCTCGAAAACCTCCACGCTACAGGGAAGAGGGGGGGGGGGGGAAGAGGGGAGAGGCGACGAGGCAGGCCTAGGCGTTTGTTGTTGTTCTTGTTTTTGTTGTTGTTTCCTTTTCCTCTGATAAATATATATATTGATATTGATATATATATATATATATATATATATATATATATATATATATATATATATATATATATCCACCGGAGCAGCGGACGATATTTTGTTGGTAATCCGCCACGCAAGGGGGCCTATGTGTATGCGATTCAAACAGCAGTGTATTTTCCATTCCGCTCACATTGATCCTTTTCTCTTCCACCATGAACGGAATGTTCTGTGTAATGCGCAAATTATTTGACGGCGGAATACTGCGTTTGGGTTGCAAATTAACTGCTATGCGGCGGAATGCGAAAGGATTCTCGTTGTGGTGGAATACGAAAACATTCCTTTCGTGGCGGGATTTTTTTGTGGCCCAATACCAAAGCGACTCTTTTTGAACAAGGGAATCTTCGTGTGGCGGAATGCAAAGGGAACCCTTTTGCGGCCTTCCCTTTCGTTGGCGGATTTTTCTGAATATTGAAGGGTTCCTTTTGTAGGGCGGTACTAGGATTATGCAGGGATTACTTTGTGGTGCGTTACAAACTTATGTTTTTTTTTTTGGGTGTGGCAGAATATGTTAGGAATATTTGTGTGGTTGATTACCAAAGGGGTTCCTCGTGTTTCGGGATACAGAGGAACCCTTTTGTCGCCGAGTGCATCAGGGTTCCCTTTGTGGCAGGATGCAAACGGAGTTTCTTTTTGGCAGAATGCAAAAGGATTCTTTTTGTGGTGGGATACATGTGTATTCTATTTTTGGTGACGGCATGCGTACACTCGTATTCCTTTCGTGGCACAGTAGGAAATACCTTCTTTTGTGGTGGAATACACTAAGAATCTCTTGATGGGCGAATACACACGGGTCTCCATTGTGGCGGATTACGAAACGATTACACGTGTAGTTGAATGCAAACATACCCCATGTATGGAAGAATGCGAAAGGATTCTTTTGTGGTGGAGTACCAACGGTTTTTTTTTCAGGCAATGCAAAGGGAAACGGTGCGTGATCACCAAAGGTTCTCATTGTGGCGGGATGCACAAGGATTCTACTTGTGGCAGAATGCTACAGGATTCATTGTTTGGCGGAGTACTAAAGGATTCCGTAGGTGGTGGTTTACGAAGGGATCACTGATCATGTTTCTGGCATATTATGTCAGGAATTTATCAAGGAGATCTTTGTGTGGCGGAATACAAGAAGGAACCCTTTTGTGGCCGAGTACAGAAGGATTCCATGTGTGGCGGAATGCGAAAGGATTCAGTCTTTTTGCAGGAAGCGAACGGGTTCTTTTTGTGTCGGAGTACAGGAGTTCAACCCTTTTTGGTGTTGTTGTTTTTTTTTTTGCTGTGGTGGATTCAACAGGGAATTCGTTTGTTTGTGGAATAAAGGCAAACCTATTCTTGCTGTGGCAGGATCGGAAAGGATTCCTGTCGTGGCGGAATTGATAGGGAGTCCTTTTGTTGCAGAATACGAAAGGGTTCCTTCTTTTCAGGCGGAATGCGAAAGGCTTCTTTTTTGTGAGCGAGAGGCGCGGACAAAACACCAACAAACAACACTGAGACATTTTTGTCGGGCAAGTCTACGTGGGCCATCGCCGCAATACTGCCCTAATCTTTTTTTTTGTCATGGTTGTCGCTTTCAAAGGGGATCCGGTGGTATTCCGCCTTAGAAGGAGTTCCAGACGCTTCACGTATGCCCAACAGCCAATCCATAAACGATGTCCAGGCGAGTTGAGGTGATCAGGGAAATGCGGGGGCAAAGAGGGGGACGGCCGAATTGTGCGAAACAGGGAGGAGGAGAAGAAGGAAGTTGGATGGATGGATGAGGGATTGGGG